TTTATAAATCGGGTTAACATTGTTGACTTTAAAAATCCAGCACGTGCTGAGGCATCATATCCAAAATCCTGCCGCCCAAACTGACAGCTTTGCAGAGATCTTTGCAGTCCTGATGTGTGGGAAAGGAGCTGTACTGATTGCAGGCTATTGTCAGTGTTGCGTTTGCTACCGCAGGATGGTAAATCTGCAATCTGTGCAAGCCCCCTCAGCTTCTAGCTCTGTGTAATATGAGCTGACACGAGATCTGGGTACACTTAAAAATCCACCTTTTATGTGAAAAATGGCTGACTAGTTTGCACATTCTTTTTGTCGTGGTTATGTAATCATGGCTGCTGTCAACACTGGCGCCGAATTCTTCACGCTGCTGTGAAAAACCCTGGTGTAATAACCATGTTTCCTGTGTGATGGGAGGTCAGAGGTCACAGCTTGTTCTCCACCGTGCTCTGTGTGTGTGTGAGTGAGTGAGCACAGACACTATTTCCCACTGGCCCGCAAAACCCCACGGTCAGAAGCCATTCAAAAGGAACATGCAGCTTTTTTTTAAGTCATTCAGATGGTAGCTTTCTGCTAGAAAGCCATCGCTTGAGGCCAGGCTGACTGTTCGAGGAAGTGGAGTATCCTAATTGGAGGAGGCTGTTGGGAGCTCTTCCCCTCATGCAGTGAAGTCACAATTTAGAGAACAGTAGGGGGGGAATGCCTCATTCTCAGGCTGTCATAGCTTTACAGTGCTTTGTGCAAACTTTTCTTGCTTCTCTGGAGGGAGACTGGCTTGGAAGACCCCGTTAACATGGCAGGAGGTGACTTTGCGTTGCCCTCCTTTGTCTCTCTGTGGTGCGGTGTGGAAAAGGACGAGCTCTCCATTATGGCAGAAGAGACCTCTTTTTTTTTCTCTTTGCTCCCTCCCTCCCTCCTTCTGCTTTTGCTCTTGCTGCTGCTGTTTGTCTGTTTCAGGATGTGCGCTTTCTCTCTCGCTCAGCTGTTCGTGTCCCACAGGAATCCTGAATGAGTTCATGGCCCTCCTCCTTCTTCCTCCCAGAGTCCACACCTCAGGCCCCCTTTTCCTTCCTCCTGTGTTTTCCTGCACCGTCTCTGCACAGGGGCTGCAGTCATGATGCCCTCTCACATCTGGGCGGTTCTCAAATCTGTGGTTTCAGCACTAAAGGGGCTCAGTGCACTGGGTGAGGTACAGATGTGAAGTCACCTCCTTCCCCCCTCTCTGAAATCCAGACAGTAGGCAGTAGATGGCTTTTGGCACGGCATCCCACTCGGCATTGAAGGGGAACCGCTAGGCTATTTTTATATTGCGGGGTTAGAAAGAATCAGCATTGAGGAGGGCATTTCAGACCACAATAAAAGTCAAATGAACACAGTGACTTGTAAGACTCCCAATTTACATCACACAATAGACGCAATTTCCAGGTACGCGCAGCACCGTATTCTGCGATTCAGAATGAGGCAACACAACTTCCAGTGAGGTGAGGCGGCCCTGTTACGTTGTTAAGAAGCAGGCTTGTGGATACATCTCTCTTAATCCAATAGAAATATTGCTCTTGACTTCGAGATTGTTTTGCCTAAAAATACTACTTGTTAACTCTGCCTGCAGATCACATTGGAACTTTTCTGTGGTGAATTGTGCGATGCACAACCTGTACTTATTTGCTCGTATGTCACATTACATTAGTCATTACAGTGACAAGTGAGCGGGAAGGGTCCCTTCACCTCACCTGCGGCAACGGAGCAGCCTACAGTAGTGTCACAAAATTCTCCATTTTGTGCTCAATTCAAAATTTGTTTTTCTATACCTTCAATGAATTTAGTTACCGAGATGTCATGAGCAGTCTGGGGCTTTGGGACTGCAGATCCCCCTAAACTTTGCTGTAGACTCTGTGGAACACGCAGGTGGGTGCTTTGGATGTCCTATAGAGGCTCCTGTCTTCTGTTTGTGTTGGGATGAGGATCCAGTTACCATTCCAGAAAGGAACCCAGAAGAAAACATGCAGGAATGGATCCTATACATTTCCCTTGATAAGTATGGGTAGATGCGAGCGATTAGCGGCCAAAAAGTAAAAAATAATGGACTCGAGACAGCCTCTTGAGTGTTTCTTAATCTCTTGTTTTTCATGTTCTCTTGTTGGCTGTGAGGGTTACGTCACAGTTGGTCAGTTTACACAGTAATTCCAGGCAGTGGACCAGAAGTGCTTACCCTGATTAAGTGGACATCTCAGCTTTGGACTTCTAAGACTCCTAGAGGATTATTAGTGGGAGTACAAGTAGATCAGACTCTCCATTTCTGACAATTTCGAATTTGAACAGGAATACAGTTACATTAAAGGGGCTGTTTTGTATCTGCCTTCTGAATATTTTGTAGTGACATTATTGTTTAGTTCCTTTGCCATTCGTACTATTTTAGAAAAACAATTAAGCACCTTAGTGTTTCTCAGGGCTAAAACTCCCAAAAAATATTGTGGAGATGTAGCATTGTAGTTGTAGCTCTTCCACAGCCTACACTTATGGAAGAAGGAAAGCAGAATAATGCCACAGAGGTGAATTAACACCCTGGAAAAAGCTGTTCTGTGCTGTGAGTTTACTTTAGTTTCACTTCCATCTCTAAAGCCTTTTCCGAGAGCAGGTCCGTTTCCTGCGATGGGTACCTCTTTGGCGTTACGAAAAAACCCTTTGGGATTTGTTTTCATGTCGGCATCAGTAGGGGCTAGAACAAGTCCTGCAGGAGGCAGGTAATCTGATAAACCTCTGATGAAATACAGATTATATATATTCTCTGAGTCACAGCTGGCATTAGGAGTCAATAGGAATCCCGCGCTGTGGCCTAGTGGTAGGCTTAACGTAATACTGCTTCATTTAGTGACCAAACATCAGTGCTCTGCTTCAGAATGTTGCAATGGGAAAGTGGGGGAGGTCTCTGTCACTGATTCTCCACTTTTTTCCCCCTGTGTCGTGTGACATGCAACATTTTCCATGTCGTTAACTCGCCCCCCCTTCCTCACTTGGGTATAAATATCATGAGGTGCCCAGTGAGCGATAATTGTTGAAGCATGCTTTTTATTTATTTTTTCCCAGCAGGAATGCGTGGGCCAGACAATCACCAAAGGGAAGTCTGAGCTTTCTTTATAGCTCTCTTTCTTGGAAGTCCCAAATCCCTGTGGCCTATCCCTTGTCCTGCTGCTGAAGTTTGATTCGTCTTCCTGCCGCTGGGGTCTGAACATATTTAGGCTTGTGAGTCTAAAACAGTGTTGGGCTTCCCTGTTCAAGCAGAAATGATCGTAGACTAACGGAGCTCTGTGTTGTATAGACTGGATGGTCTTCAGTGATGAATGGATGACAGCTATGCCCGGTGCTGGGCTGGGCCGTGTGTCACGGACGTCCAAAGGGACGAACCGTGAAGAGGCAGGAGAGCGGAAAAAGACCTATATGCGTAGTGGCGGAACGGGAAAAAGGCCCGGGCTCGTTAGTGCAAAGAGTTCAGGAGTGCCGTATAGAAACCTATGCCCTCAGATAGCGGACGTGGGGCGACCTGGTGCTAGGCGGGTCTCAGGACATCCAAACATCAATGCTGAGCCAGGACAGAGTGCAAGACCCGGAAATATATAGCCCAAGGGCAAGAGAGGGACCGGAAGGACAGCAGCCAGGAAACTAGGGACAAGACAGAGAAGAAGTGCCCTCTGGCTGCAGAGGGCGTGACACCGTGGGGTGCCGGTTCGGGTCTGGTGGCCCGGTGCTGGGCTGGGCCGTGGGGTGCCGGTTCGGGTCTGGTGGCCCGGTGCTGGGCTGGGCCGTGGGG